GACTGATGCTGAAGCTGAAACTCCAATACTTTGGCCACCTGATGTGAAGAGCTGACTCATTTGAAAAGACCCTGATGCTAGGAAAGATTGAAGGCAGGAGGAGAGGGGAATGGCAGAGGATGAGATGGTTGGATGACATCACCGACTCAATGAACATGAGTTTGGGTAGGCTCCAGGAGTTGGTGATGAACAGGGAGGCCTGGCATGCTGTAGTTCATGGGGTCGCAAAGAGTTGGACATGACTGAGAGACTGAAGTGAACTGAACTGAAAGCATATACATGAAATCTAGAAGGATGGTACTGAGGAACCTATCTGCAGAGAAGCAGTGGAGACTCAGACGTTGAGAACATGTTTATGGACATGGGGTTGGGGAGGGGAGGAAGGAGAGAGTAGCATGTATGGAAAGAGTAACATGGAAACATGCATTACCATATGTAAAATAGATAGCCAATGGGATTTTTCTATATGACTCACGGATCTCAAACAGGGCTCGATGACAACCTAGAAGGGTGGACTGAGGAGGGAGGGAGGTGGGGGGGATATTTAAGCGGGAGGTGACTTGGGTAACCTTTGGCTGGTTCATGTCAATATTTGGTAGAAAACAACACAATACTGTAAAGCATTTATTCTTTAATTTAAAATAGATAATAATAAAAACAACAATAACAGGGAAAAAACCTAAAAAAATATTACTACATCTCCATATTTATACAAATAGCTGAGAAAAGAGAAGTAAAAGGCAAGGGAGCAAAGGGAAGACATAACCATCCAAATGCAGATTTCCAAAGAATGGCGAGATAAGAAAGCCTTCCTAAGTGAACAAGGCACAGAAATAGAGGAAAACAATAAAATGGGAAAGACTAGAGACCTCGTCAAGAAAATCAAGGGAACATTTCATGCAAAGATGGGCACAATACAGGATAAAAATGGTATGGACCTGACAGAAGTAGAAGATATTAAAAAGGGGTGGCAAGAATACATAGAACTATACAACAAAGATCTTTATGACTCAGATATCCATGATGGTGTGATCAGTCACCTAGAGCAATGCATCTTGGAGTGTGAAGTCAAGTGGGTCTTAGGAAGCATCACTGTGAACAAAGCTAATGGGAGTGATGTAATTCCAGCTGAGCTATTTCAAATCCTAAAAGATGATGCTGTTAAAGTGCTTCATTCAATATGCCAGTAAATTTGAAAAACTCAGCAGTGGCCACAGGACCAGAAAAGGTCAGTTTTCATTCCAGTCCCAATAGATGGGCAGTGTCAGAGAATGTATAAAATTGCACAAGTGCTCTCATTTCACATACTAACAAAGTAATGCTCAAAATTCTCCTTGCCAGGCTTCAACAGTTCATGGACTGAGAACTTTCAGATGTACAAGCTGAATTTAGAAAAGGCAGAGAAACTAGAGATAAAATTACCAACATCCTTTGGATCATAGAAAAAGCAAAAGAATTCCAGAAAAAAATCTACTTCTGCTTCATGACTATGCTAAAGCCTTTGACTGTGTGGATCACAACAAACTGTAGAAAATTCTTCAAGAAATGGGAGTACCAGAACACCTCACCTGACTCCTGTGAAACATGTATGCAGGTCAAGCAGCAACAGTTAGTCCATGGAAAAATGGACTGGTTCCTAATTGTGAAAAGAGTATGTCAAGGCTGAATATTGTCCCTGCTATTTAACTTATATTCAGAGTATATCACGCAAAATGCTGGACTGGATGAAACACAAGCTGGAATCAAGATTGCAGGGAGAAATATCAATAACCTCAGATATGCAGATGACACCACCCTTATGGCAGAAAGCAAAGAGGAACTAAAGAGCCTCTTGATGAAAATGAAAGAGGAGAGTGAAAAAGCTGGTTTAAAACTCAACTTTCAAAAAACAAAGATCATGGCATCTGGTCCCACACTTCATGACAAATAGATGGGGAAGCAATGGAAACAGTGACAGGCTTTATTTTCTTGGGTTCCAAAATCACTGCAGATAGTGACTGCAGCCATGAAATTAAGATGCTTTCTCCTTGGAAGAAAAGCTCTGACAAACCTAAACAACATATGAAAAAGCAGAGACATTACTTTGATGACAAAAGTCCATCTAGTCAAAGCTATGGTTTTTCCAGCAGTCATATATGGATATGAGAGTTGAACCATAAAAAAGGTTGCATGCCAAAGAATTGAGGCTTTTGAGCTGTGGTGTTGGAGAAGACTTGAGATTTCCTGGACAGCAAGGAGATCAAACTAGTCAATCCTAAAGCAAATCAGTCCTGAATATTCACTGGAAGGACTGCTGCTAAAACTGAAACTCCAATACTTTGGCCACCTGATGCAAAGAGCTGACTCATTAGAAAAGACCCTGATACTGGGAAAGATTGAAGGCAGGAGGAGGAGGGGATGACAGAGGATGAGATGGTTGGATGGCATCACTGACTCAATGGCTATGAGTTTGAGCAAGCTCCAGGAGATGGTGAAGGATAGGAAAGCATGGCATGTTGCAGTTCATGGAGTCACAGAGTTGTATACAACTGTGCAACTGAACAACAGTGACAACATACTGTATAAGTAATTTAAAAATCATGCTCCTATAGCCTCAGTAGTGTTTAGGTTTATCTGCCCAAGCTGACTCTGATTGTTTTATCAATTAGAGTAACTATCATCTCTGAGCAAATCCCAGTAGATGGTATTTAGTTTCTTGTCCAAACTCTATTTTTATAAAGGACAATTCTACTCCCCCAAATTAAAGGTGATTGTTTTATTTCTTAGATGACCCCATTGAAAATGTTGCTGCCTCATTTCTTGATTCATTAGTTTCAAGCTTCATTTTTCCAAGTAACAAGTCCAAGACACCATTATTCCTCTATAGACCATTGTCATACAATATTGTGATTATATTTTGAGATATATGTGTGTTTGTGTGTGTGTGTGTGTGTGTATATATATATATATATATATATATATAAAATTTATAAGTGTCTCCTCAAGGCCTCTGGGTGTAATTTATATTGGAGCAGGAAATGGCAACCCACTCCAGTGTTCTTGCCTGGAGAATCCCAGGGACGGGGGAGCCTGATGGGCTGCCATCTATGGGGTCGCACAGAGTCAGACACGACTGAAGTGATGCAGCAGTAGCAGCAGTTCATTTCAGTTCAGTTGCTCAGTTGCATCTGACTCTTTGAGACCCCATGGACTGCAGCATGCCAGGCCTCCCTGTCCATCACCAACTCCTGGAGTTTACTCAAACTCATGTCCATTCAGTTGGTGATGCCATCCAACCAACTCATCCTCTGTTGTCCCCTTCTCCTCCTGCCTTCAATCTTTTCCAGCATCAGGGTCTTTTCCAAGGAGTCAGCTCGTTGCATCAGGTGGCCACTGGAGTTCAGCATCAGTCCTCCCAATGAATATTCAGGACTGATCTCCTTCAGGATGGACTAGTTGCATCTCCTTGCAGTCCAAGGGACTCTCAAGAGTCTTCATCAACATCACAGTTCAAAAGCATCAATTCTTCATTGCTCAGCTTTCTGAATGTAAAAGCCCAGAATACATCAAAGCTTTTGTGCCAAATTCCTAGACGGAACTTTGACTTAGGCTTGGGCAAACAGATAGCTCCTTCTGCCCATTTTATTGACAATAGGGAGAGCAAGATACTACCTCTTTTAAAAGAGAGAAGAGACAGTGTAACCTGCCTACCCAGGATTTTTATGGAGGCAGCGCTCTGGCCAGCACTTTCAAAGTATCTTACCTCACGTATGTGGGAGAAAGTTACAAGGGAGGAAAGGAGAAGAGAATGGCTGGAATTTCTCCCAGAAGGATAACTTCCAACCTTATTTCTATTTTTCAGTCTATTACAAGCAAGAATGGATAAGAAAAATAGTCTGCCACTTTTCTGGTCTTTAATTTCCTTATCTGAGTGAATACTCCATCCATTAGCAGAATGGACAAAAAATATTCTTGGCTTTGAGTAGTCCTCTATTTCCTTTGGAATAGATTGAAATGAAATAGCCTTAGAGCCAGGTAGTGGGAGCAGAGTGGAACAAAATTTGGTTCCAACAGTACACATGATATATTATTAAAATTTTAAAATGAAGATAGCCTAAAATTGTTGTTCTCTTATCAGGTGCTACTTATCTTTAGTACTTTGATCATCCTTTTATTTCTGAGCAGAAAAGTAGTTACTCTTCAAAAAGAATCTTGGCCCTACCCAATAGGTATCCCCTTGTTTATCTCCATGTGCAGATGGAGTGGCTTTCTCTTCAAGCATTTGTTCTTGTCAGACTCGTCAACTTTCATAAAATGTCAGTCCAGCCTCTGCATTGAGGGGCTGTTAAAACATATGGCTTTGCACTTAACCGGAAAAACAGAATAGCTGCACTCTGGGTACTTGTCAGGGAATATAATCTTCCAGTCACTAACATTCAGCACCTATCAGAAGCTCAGCTGGGAGAAACAGTATTTTTAAAAGATTGTCTGAAGGACGTGCAGTCTGTCCATTCACTCAGCTACTCTCAAATCCACCCCATCTAAGCCAGACAAGCATAAATTCCGGAAAACTATTCTGGCCCTCATGGGAAGGCTTTTACTAAATTGCAGAGTGGCATATTGCCATAAACTTAAACTGAGTGAAGACAGAAGGGACAGACCTTTGAAACCCATGGTTTTCCTGTGAGGCCATGTTAATAATTCTTCCCTTCCTTACACAATTAGCTTTCTCTTCATGAGGGTGCACAGGAAAATTGTCTCTCATGTCAGTATCAGCCCATAGATGTTTTTTCCTTCACAATTTGTTTGTGTATAGGCACTTAAACTCTGAATCACCAGCACTTATATAAACACACATGCTGATTGTAATTCTACCTCTTGAGTTGTTATCAAGTATAAAGCTAAGGTTGTGACTCTTCTGGAAAGCATACAGGAAATTCCAAACATATATTCTGAGACCTAACTTCATGTCCGGCTTCAACCTATTGATGTTATGGAATTTACTCTTCATTCTTTTTAAGATGGGGAAGGGCAAGGAATCTTCAAAGAACTGATTGGTGGAGTATGAAAGTCAGTGGTTCCCGGATGTAGAAGAGGAATCCACTTGTAGAGAGCAACGCATTGGTCTACAGGTATATTCAGGCATAGGTAACACTTCATAGAAATCCAGGTCATATTATATCTCACTGATGTGTCACCGTCTGTCTGGCACTCAAACATTCTGCTTCCAATGACCCACTTTTTGGTTCTTCACAAGGAGAGAGACCTTCTGGAGAATTGGAAGTGTTTGGCAATGGGGTAGGTGAGGAGAAGATGGTGTCTAGAGATGTTGAGATAAAATCCATAGGAGTTATGTTGCTTTCAGAGTTCCATTCAGCAATTGTTTGATAGAAACATCTCAGTCTGAAGCTAACCACCCGGATAAAATATTGGCATTCAGCCACGGAGTGAATGTATGTGCCAGGTCGTTAGTCACACAAATGCCTCTTTCACAGCTTGTATCAAGATCTGTCACTGATTTTGGCAGTGGCAGGTAAGTCACTCTTTCAGGGACATAACTGCATGCTACAGAAATTATAAACATTAGTTTACACTAAATGTTAGAGGACCTTTTGCTTTTCTAAAGTAACTCTTAAAGCATTCTTTTTCAAACTTGGAAGAGGATATTCATTTTCTTTCCTTAGCCTGTGATATAAGGAGTATGTGATGTGAGGATCATGCTGAGAGTATTTCATGAAGCTAAAGTTATTTCATTTAAGAGTCTGTGTTAAGTTCTGAGATTGTATACTTCCTATTTTGAGATGTTCATGCATTGATTCCTTTATGATACTGTGATAATAGATGTTTAAAAGTGCCTCCTATTGTTAAATAATAATAATAATAACAATAATGACCTAAGTGTGTCTCTAGGGTTTGCAAGTATAGTAGCTCAGGTTGCTTACTGAAAAATTATGTGTGAATTATATTTTTGGTGATTATCCAAATTCTGGAGACCAGAAATTATGTACCAGATATACTCTTTTTTTCCTCATAGTTAGAAAGTTTAGCTATCATTTCCCACTAAACATTGCCACTTCATAAATGATTCTTGTGAAAACATTGTGAAGATGAGAAGGTAATTACCCACAGCTTTGTCAAACCATATGGAATAGACTAATATGCTTCATTGATGTGAGGAATATGACAGCTGGAACCCTTTAAAAGACAGCTTCGGTAACTCAGGACCTGGAAGCTTCCAGTTGTCAATAGCAACGCTCCTTTCTCCGTTGTTGATTGGCACTGAAAGCACTTGTGAGCGCCTCAGATTTGTTTGATTCACTGCAACAGAGTGAAAGGCAGCAGGGTTTGTGCGCAGTGTCTGCAGCCCTACTGTGTCTACAGGAAACATGGGAAAAGGATTTTCTACTGGGTTTCCGGTCATCTTTTTATAAAGCCGTGTATTGCATGACAGATGACCTTTGTGCATATGCCTGCTCTTACACACACAATCTGTGCCATGTCTGCCTTTTCTGAGCCCTGAGGGCAGACACGTACAACTTAAATGAATGGGATCAGACTTACTGAAGGGTGAGGACAGCTGTTATTATGCAGGAAGCACACTGGATATAAAATGAGTGCTTCATCAATTTTAGAAATTAGATTCCAGGTCATACAAACAACACCACTATGTGTCATGGCCTGATTACTTACTACAAGGATAAGGAAACATACTTTTTAGCATCATTGAAGTTGGTGTAGAACTCCTAATCCTAACTCAATGCAGTACACTGAAAAGCTGAATAAACACATCTCACCCAGGGAAGGGTTTTGCAAGGTTGAATGACTACAGGTGATGTTTTAAGCAAAATGATCTTTCATTCTCTTTCTACTGGAAAAGTGAAAATTTACCCAGTGTGGGTAAAATATGCTGTAGAATTAGTCATCCTTGTAGAATTCAGTTTCCCTGTCATACATAGTTCTATAGGAGATTATTTTCAGAATATAGTAAAAATTTTCTGTATGATTCCTATATTTCTGGATTTGTGAATAATGTTTAATGTGTGAGAATAAAAAGTTACCTGTAGCAATTAATCTCGCTAAGAAAGTCACTTTAAAAGGCATAAAGGTTTGACTTTCCCTTCTGTAAGAACATCACTTGGTAAGCTGCTCTTTACCATGTGCAGTTGGGTTTCAAAACAATGTAAGTATTTTATAAAGGTGCACCTTAACAATGATTTTGGAAAAAATTTTTTAGATATGGATGAAATAAAAGTCTAATCTTGTTTGAAATGTCAGTAATGATTTCAATAGTTTATTTTTCCTTGAAAAATTAAGCATTTGATGATACAAATATCACTATCCTATTAAAACTTTCAGGAAACAGATATAAAATAAATATTAAAATTAACTTCTATTAGCTTTTGTAATAATACATGTCTTCCATGTGCCCCTTCTCATTCTTTTCTTCCACTTCTTCACTTTACATCCTTACTACCTATGACCTTTAACTTTTCTCTCCTCTTTGAGTGTTTTTTTCTTCCTGTCACTCAGATCTCTGATTATAAAGTCTGCCTTCTTCTCCTTTGTAGTAGTACTGATTGTGAGGGAGTTTGTTGCTAAGATGAAATGTCTATATCTGGAAACTTTTAAGACTGCATTTGAAGGAAATTTTAAAAATTAATGCTATCTGGAAGCAAAGAGATAGTTGTGATTTCCTCATGGGGACCTTTCTAAAATGATGACATCACTTTCTATCAAGGAAAATCTTGATAGAAAACCCATCCATAGAATCCAAATAATTTCCAAACAAATAAGATAATACTGATCTCAAAGTAAAATTAAAATGAATCATAAACCTTTCCTCTTTTCATGAATGGAAACAAGAGATTGTGCTATCATCCTTGGCAATTCTTTTATCAATATTAATGCTTTTTGCTTTGCTTTTTTTACTTTTGCAGTAACATCTGGATTTGATTTCCTCTAGAGTATTTTAGAATCTTATAGACTAGTAAAATAGGCATCATATCAATTTTTTTAGTGGGCTGAGAAATTGAAATTTATAGTTTTATTTCATGAGTGGTATCAGTCTAGCCTCATGTAGTGTTTATTCCCTCATCTCCATTTGAGCTTATTATTTTATTCTACTTATTTATTTAATAGGCTCTCAAAAAATAACAGTCTGTTCTGGAAAGTTTAAATGAGCAACTTTTAGAACTGACCAGTTCAAAATGAAAAGAAAAAAAGAAATAATATCTCAACATGACAAAATAGAATAACTTTTGAATTAACTGCAGTATGTTAAATATAAACTACAGTGGTAAATATTACTTTAGATCGTAATAACTGAAATGTTTTCCTTTAAATAAGTTGCTAAAAGGCAAAGTTAGCACAGTCTGATCAATAGTGCTTTTTTTAAAATAAGAACTTGCAACAGGCTTTATAGATGGGTAAATATGTTTTCTCCTCAGCACTCTTCAATACTAACAATTTTTCCTTCTCTTTTCTGCTGTGGTTGAGTACAATAGCCAATAGCAAAACCATTATTTTTTTTTTTACCTTAAAACTTGCTTACCTGGGTTAATATACTAACATCAATCATTATGATGCTCAGAAGGAAATAAATAGCTATAAACTCTCCCACATTTTACTCCTTATTGCAGCATAGAAAATGTGAGCTTCATTCCTTACAGTGTTTTAAAGAGTTATGACCTGGTTTATAAAGGAATCTGTGGGTGAGGCATTTTTAATATTCATAGCCTTTGATATTCTCTAGTTCTAATGCAGTTAATCACTATTCAGTATTATTCTATCACAGTGTCTTTTGAAGTGGGATCCATGAACAACTAGATCAGCCAATATATTAAAAATTTTTTTTAAATTTATTTTTTATTGAGTTATTGATGTGCAATATTGTATAAGTTTCAGGTGTCAAGTGACTCATTCATGAATATATGTATATTTTCTTTTTCAGATTCTTTCTCCTTATAGGTTGCTAGAAAACACTGGATGCGTTTTTGCCTATGCTGTACTGTAGGTTCTTGTTGGTTTTCTATTTATACATAGTAGTGTGTATCTATTAATCTCAACCTCCTGATTTATCCCTGCCCCCCTTTTCCCTTTGGTAACTATAAGTTTGTTTTATATGTCTTGGGCCTATTTATGTTTTGCATATAAGCTCATTCATATCATTTTTGTTATAGATTCCACATATAAGCAATATCATATGATATTTGTCTTTGAATGGCTAACTTTGCTTAGTATGATGAAGTCCCAAGTCAAGATGGACAGAGAGGTGGGTAGTGATAGATTTCAATCTCATTGCAGCCAGTTGATTGGCTGGCCTTAATGAAAGGTGTGTTCTCCCACAGTTCATTGAGGAGAGTCTATTTATTTTTGAACAGTTTGGTGCAGTCTTTAATATTAATAGTACCACATATTTTTCTCATTTAAATGAATCTTGGAACTTTCAGGCAGTCAGTAGGAGAGTGGTTGTCGTTAAGTATCTAGTGTTGAAATGTAGTGTATATTTCTAATAAATACTACTGAGCACAATGCTAATAATATAAACCAAGAAAAAAAAATAGCAACCTAAAATTAAACTGAAACTAAGTACTTATTTAAATAACCACTCATTTAAATAACTTTTTTCTTTTTCTGAGTATAAAAGATAATGATTCATATCATGGGCAATAAAGGTATATGTATGGGAGTGAATTCCAATGTGTTGAAGATGGGAGATTAGAGGTCAAAGGGCAGACAGAGCCAGTCAGGGGCAGAGACGGAGTTTCTTCCCAAATCAGGTATTATGCTACTGTCTGAATTAAAGAAGGATTTGCATAACAAATTGTAAACAGATTAATTACACAGAGTGACATTTGACTGTATTTTGCAAGCAATTTATGTGACATTTAGCATTGCTGTATAGTTTATATCATTTTATACTTACAGATTATATTCCTTAAGAAGTATGTATCTAAAATATTAGAGTAATTTTAACTCAATTTTACATTTAAATAAATTTGTAACATGTTTTGAAGAGTTTTATTTCATTTTTGACTGACATATTTCAGTCATTTTGACTGACATTTTGACTGACAAATGACATAATTCATTTCATTTTATTTCATTTTGATTATATCCTGTTTCCCACCGT